ACCTTTATCAGATGACAAATCAAAGACAGCGGAGCAAATGAAAGATGAAGCAATTGAACAGGAAAAAGAAAATTCAAATGATACCAAGAAGTCTGCACTAGACTGTAAAGATGTTAACCCCAAATCTCTAGAGGTAAGAATATTTCAAATTAAACCTAAAAATGAATGGTAAATATTAACACCGATTGTCTAGACGCTAGCTTCCTAGCATTAACGGTTATGAATCGGTTAGTCAGGACAACAGTTTATTACATATTTTTTCATTACAGAACATAGCCGATGGTAAAAATGTACAACCTGTAAAGCCCGGTATAGAACAAAATGTTCTTCAGCCCCAAGAAACCCATTCATCGTCAACGAAAGGTCACAGGGAGACTGACAAACAAAAGCTTTCCCCGTCTATTACAAAGAATGCAGACAAGAAAGAGCCTATTGTCAAGGAACTTCCATCACATATTAAGCCAAAGACTAATGCAAAGAAGACAGCTGTGATCAAAGAGCAGAGAAAAGTAAAGGATATTTCGCAAGACACCAAGATTTCTTTACTACACTCAGACAAAGTTGTCACTGCTGGCTCTCAAGAGGTAAGGCAATTTTACAGTAAAGCTGACAGCTCATTCGATATTCGATATTGTCCATTACAGGAAATACAATTTAAATCAGATCCGTCACCAAAGACAACTGAGCAAGACATAGCCGATGGTAAAAATGCAGAACCTGAAAACCTTGATAAAAGACAAAAAGTTACGCCAAAGCTAAATGAAAATAAGACAGTTGATGAAAAAAAAGTGCTAAAACAAAGTGAAATATCTTTACAACATTCTGAAAAAAATATTGTTCCAGGCTCTGAAGAGGTAAGTATTTTTCCAATAAAGTCAAAAGTCAATAACGTCTCACTCTGATAGCTAATAAATCTTCGTTATTTTTAACAGAAAAATCTTTGCGATTCTGATCCACCACCAAAGACAAGTGTGCAGAACATAGTCGATGGTAAAAATGAAAACGCTTGTGAAAAAAAAGATGAAAAACAAAACTTTCCCCAGCAACAGGAAGATAAATTATCACAATCCTATGAGGAGCTCGATAAAAATAAGCCTTGCTCGCCTCAAATAAATGATGCAGTCAAGAAAAAGTCAACTGCCAATGAGGATTTATCAAAGCTTAAGGAGAAGAAAAAAGCCAAGAAAGAAATGAAGAAAGAAAAAAAAGCACGAAAGAAAGAAAAGAAGAGACAAAAAAAAGAAAAGAAGAAAGAAAAAAAACAGCACGAGAAGGACAAGAAAAAAGAAAAGGAAACAGCAGATAAGACTTCAAAAATTGTAGTAGGCTCCAAAATGGAGGTAAGCATATTTTATAATAAATGTCTTATTAATAAATCACAAAAGCAAATTTTATTACTGATTGCTTATAAATCTCTTAAAATATTCGTTAATAGAAAAAGCCTTGTGAATCAAATACGACACAGAAGACAACTGACCAGAAGATAATCGATGATGCAAATGTAAAGTCTTCTGATAAAAAAGGTGTTAAACAAATAGTTCCTCAACAGCACAAAAACATATCATCAGTAAAAGAAGAACCAAGAGAGATTGACAAAAAGGATGCAGACAAGAAAGATACAAGCGACCAAGGAGCTTCATCAGATCACAAATCGAAGATGAACGAAGAGAAAAAAGGAAAGGTAAAGTCGAATAAAGGCAACAGGTCTGTACTATGCACGGAAAATGTGGTTATGCCAAGTTCCCAAGAGGTAAGGATGCTTGAAAGTGTAGCCATAAATAAATAAATCTGAACATTGATTGCTATTAAATATATCATTATTATTAACGACAGAAAAACTTATGTGATTTTAAGTCGTCACAAAAAACTGAGGAAAACGAGGGTGAAATGCTTAACCAATCTGAAAATAAAGGCGAAATACAAAAGGTTCCTCAACAACAGGAAGACAAATCATTAGCAGCAGAAGATCCAACGAAGCTTGGAAAAAATATGCCTTGTGTGGCTCTCAAAGAGAATGCAGACGAGAAAGAAACGAGCGACATAGGGGCTCTTTTCGATGACAAAACAAAAATGATGGAACAAAAGGCAGATGAAGGGCCAGAAGAGAAAAAAGGAAAGGAAGAGTCGAATAAAGCCAAAGCTGTACTATGCTCGAAAAAGGTGGTTTTTCCAAGCTCCCAAGAGGTAAGGATGCTTAAAAATGTAGCCAAACATCATTAATTGTACACAATCATTTTTCATGACAGAAAAAACTGTTTAGTTCCGAGTCTTCGAAAAAGTCAACGGAGCAGTTCATAGTTAAAGTTGCAATGTTTAGCCAGACTGAAAACAAGCACGAAAAACATAAGGTTCCCCAAAAACAGGAAGAGAAATCATCGGCAACCGAAGTGGAGGTTGACAAAAATAAGCCTTGCTTGGTTATTAAGAAGGAAGCAGGCAATAAAGAGACAAATGTCAAACAAGGTTTAACAGATGACACATTGAATGCAACAGAACAAAAGACAGTCGAAAAGATAGAGGGTATAAAGAAACATGAAAACTCCGAAAAGGCGAAAAAAAGTGAGCTTAACTTTGGGAAAGATATTATCCTAAGTTCTCAAGAGGTAAGGAGCGGCAAATTAATTTATTTAAACACAGATTGTGATTTAATTTATTATTATTGTTTATGACAGAAAGAACAGGAAACAAACGAAGTCCATGTTGCAAAATTGTACACATCTGAAATTAAAGAAGGGAAAGATGAAGGTAAAGCTCTTCAACAGCAGGTAACACAGGACCATGAGGATAAAAATAAACCTTGCCCGACCCGTAAGACGGATGCAGACAAGATGGAGACAAGTCACAAAGAAGGCTTGCCGGATGGCTTATCAAAGACTAAGGCGAAGAAGAAAGAGCTGAAAAAAGAGAAAAAGGACAAACAAAGAGATATAAAAAAAGCAAATAAAAAAGCTAAAAAGAAAGAGAAGAAGGAAAAGAAAAAAGAAATGGAGAAATCAGATAAGTCTAAGAAAGTTAGACAACGCTCTCAAGAGGTAAATAATTTAATAAACCCTTTCAAATAAAAGCAAAAAACAAGTAAAAGTGCCCTTCTGGCCCTTCTAATAATAAGAACAATCATTTTCTCAACAATAGGACAATAAAGAATCGGTTATAAAAGACCACAAGGCGCACGATGAAAATACACCCTGCCCGAGTCTTACAAAGGATGCAAAAAGCAATGAGATAAGTGATAAACAATGTTTATCAGATGAAAAGTCAAAGATAACGGGAGAAAGAAGTAAAGTCGAACAGGAAAAAGAAAACTCGGATAAGAAAACAGAAGCGTGCTCTGGTAAAAGTGTTATCCCAGTGTCTCAAGAGGTTAAAGATAAAAAAAATCTGTTCCCAAAACGTGAAGCCATGGTTAGCAAAGACCTCAAGGAAAAGCAACACGAAAGTATGCTGAGTCCGTCTTTAAAAAAGGATACAGAAGCGAAAGATATCGATTTAAAAAGAATGAAGGAAGAAACTAGGGTTTCCGATACTATCGTTGTCTCTCAAGAGGTAAGCTTCTTTTAAAACCCAACTCCCCTAACAAATTAACAATAACCTAACTAGAATGAATTTGGAAAACAAACCTTCTCCAACAACAGGAAGCTAAAGAAGCCTCAAGCATAATCACAGACGCCATGGGTGTGCAAGAAACTAGTCAGCCTACAACTCTACCCTCCACTTCTGTTGAAGATGCTATCCCAAATACAAGACGAGAGCAAATATCAAATGAGTCTAATTCAACGGTATTAGGGACTGATACGGATGTTATTGAACAGGTATATACGATCCACAATTGTAGAATCATAATATAGTACAATATTCAAAATATTTATTATACCATAGAAAAACCACATTGAACAAAAGTCGAAAGTTGACCAAAAGGAAACAGAAAAAGAAAACAAAAAGCTGCTTCAACATGAAAATCCTTTAAAGGTAAACGGTGCAGAAAAAATACCAGTTACCACAACGGAAGAAAATTCAAAAACTAATGACAAGAAAAGAACAAACTTGAATGCTCAAAAGGTAAGGATTGCAAACAACATAGATGTATAAGTAAATGTTTTATATCTCGTTTCATAGGGAAAGCAAAAGAAACCAGGGTTAGCAAATGAAACTCAGCCAAAAACTAAGCAGCAGAAAGAAAAAGATGACAAATTGAAATCTTCAGATGATATCACTGTAGAAAAGCTTCGATCACCAAAAGTGTCGGAAATTGCAGACACCGAAAAGGAGGATCAGACTATGTCGGCTAATGTGAAAACAATTGAAAAAGCATCTTCAGATACTACCACAAAATCGAATTCTTTAAGCGGCTTAGTCTCAGATACACAAAATGAAAAGGAATTATGTGCCACTTTAAAATCTGACAGTTATCCAAAGTTACTAGAAAAACAGATAAAAGATATTTCAGCTTGTAGGCAAACAGTGAAAAAAGAAATCGATCAAGAAGTAAATCCAGAAATGAAAATCGAAAAGGAAGAGCGAAAAGGTATATCCTTAAATGAGAAATGCCAGCTATCTCAAATGCCAAAGGATGAGCAACAAACTATCAAGATGGAACGCAAAGCAGTAGCCGCTGAAGCCAAAAAAGATAATACCATTAGATCGGATCTTAAGAGAAAATTAAAAGTGGATGATCAAAAGGTAGGAATACATTTATTAGTATATCAAAGACAGTTTTGTATAAACAATAAATATTCAATCTTTAAATCGTCTCTACAGGAACGGGAACAAAACAATACTGAAAGTAAGAAATTGAAATTGATGGATGATAAAAACAAAGAGCAAACACAGCCTCAGCAGCCAAAATCAATTCAAATGCCAATAATAAAAGGAAATGAGAAGACTTTGGATATGAAGGTTGCGATTGAAGCTCCGCAGACCACTAAAAAGGAGCAAGATACAAAAGCAAAAAAGGTTAAAAAAGCTAAAAAAGCCAAACATAAAAAAGAAAAAACAGAGGAAGAGAAACTTAAAAAAAAAGCTAAAAAAGAAAAGAAAGCAAAAGAGCGAGAAAACGATAATGACAAAGATGTAGATAAGGATCTGGCAAAAAAGGCAAAAAAAGCTATGAAAAAAGCTAAAAATAAAACCAAAAAAAAAGAACTTGAAAAACAAAATACGAAAGAAACGCTAAGCCAAAAAGCTAAAGAAATAAACGAGAAGATACAAGATAAAACTGACAATGCCAAAGAAACATCAACAGATAAATCTACGGAAAATCTAAACGTAACCCCAATAGACAACAAAACCCATATAGTAAATGATATAGACGAAAGTAAAATTGAAAGTAAGAAGCTGCAGTCCCCTAACGTCGCAAAGAACGCTGAAGTGCAGAAGAAGCAGGAAGCGAGGCCGAAAGGAATAGAAAAAGACATATCTCATGCGATCAAGAAAACTAATCCAATTCTTAAATCTACTTTTCCCATAGCTCAAGAGGTACTGATATTCGGCAACTCGAACATTGGTTTAATGACTTGTATACAACATCAATTATCATTATGTTTTCCAGGTATCGCCAGAGCAAATCAAACCTTGTCATGAGAAAACAAAACAAAACACTACAAATTTAAAGTGCTTGTCAAATAACAACATTGATCCAAAACAACTTCAGGATAATCAACAGCATTTGGCAAATCAAAATGTAAGAATAAAGAAACGAGCAGGAATTGAGTCAGGAAATTCGACTGAGGTTAGGAAAAACATAACGGGCACTAAAAGCCATTTTTTTTTTCCAGCTTTATAAGCTAAAATAATATCTCTTTGTACTCACGCGCGCTTAATATCTTTTATTCCAGGTAATACAAAAGCAATTTGAACAAACCCAACGTGAAACAGAACTACAAGAAACACTTGATTTAAAAGCTGTGCAAAGCACAACAATTGAACAAAAAAATCTTGCGGAGCAGGCGAATCGACAGCTTTCAACTAAACAAAATGTTGTAATAAAGAAACTTGACTCAAAAAAAGAAGACGTTAAGAAAAGTTTATCGGAAGTTAACAGCGCTGTTATTCCAGTTAAAAAAGAGGTACATTAAAGTTTATAAAACTCATTTATTTGATTCTAGCGACCTTGCTCCGGCAAAGTTATTCCTACTATGTTTAAGAAATCAGCTTTCGGTCCATTTCGTGCAAGTAAAATAGAAAAGTCCTGATACTTTAAGCTTTGTTCTTAATTTTACTACCAAGCCAATGGCTTTTCAAAACTTAAGGATCACATCTTCAATATTTTTTACCTAGATTTTTGAAAATTATTTTGAAGTTTTTCAGAAAAAAAAAAATTGTAACACGTCTCAACTAAATCAGTACAAAAATCTTTCAATATCAGTTTCAATCCGATCGAATGGTAAGCAAACTAGTTTCCTACAACCAATTTTCCACGGTTGCGAGTGGAATTTTTGAAAAACCCCATCTTAGTGTGCACCTGCACCACATAAGGTAACTACAGATTCAATCAGACCAGGATACACAGTATATGCGTACATATATCAAGATAAAACTTGTTTATTAATGTTTTGTAATAACAGGCAAGTAATAATATAGACAAATTATCCCATGGGAACACGGAGAGCCAAGGAATCAATGCTAACTATTTGAAGCCTTTGGCAAGCAAAAATAGTGAACAAAAACTTCAACTGCAGACAGCTGATCGTCGGGCTTCTGTAAAGAAAAATGACAAGGAAAACGTGGAGCAGTCAAGAAAAGAAGAAGATTCCAACCAAACAGAAATGACCAAAAAGAATGCGACTGGCCTGAACAGTTGTCTTATTTCGACTGCTGAAGCGGTAAGCGAATAATTTTTAATATCATTTATGCCAAGTAAAACATGAGAAAACTAACCCAACAGAAAGCAAATCAACACAACAATGAACATAAACTTCATCGAGTGCCATTCGATCGGCAAACCCTAACTAAACAAAATGATAGGAAAAATGAACCCGTGGCTCAAAGAAGTTTACCAAAAACTAACTACCCTGTAATTCCAGCTGCTCAGAAAGTAAGAAAACTATTAAATGATATATAAAACTACATGATTATGATATCTACAGGATAAATATGAAAAGCCTGAACCATTCATGGAGATAATAGAACAACTGGAAGCTGATGAGAATAGCTTGCAGTTTCTAGCCCATAAATACAATGATCAGCAACATCTTGAAGCCCAGGCTGCGCAACAACTTCTTCTGAAGCAGCAGGTAACAAGAAAGGATGAAAAAGTAAAAGACTATCGAACATCTTATGAGACCATGAGAAATGCACTAAGCTTTCCAAACATTCCATTTGATTATGGAGTAAGGGTGTTTCAATGCTCGAACGTGGAATAATTTATTTATTATTATGATTTACAGGTAAAACAAGGAACACACCAAGAATACCAACATGTCGATAAAACGGCGAAGCCCTTGGCAAGTAAAAACAATGAGCAGCAGCCTTTTCAGCAGCAAGACGATGCAAAAACCTCAAAACCTCCTTACAAAAGTCTGATGCAGGAACCAAAGAAGGAATATGGAGGAATGCAAGCATGCATGGAGAGCAAACTAAATGATTTGCCAGATATTAATGATATAGGATTGTCACAAATGGTAACTATGCGTTTCAGGGTTTAAAACTTATAAAAATGAAATTTTATTATATAAAAGTGCATATTCAATATTCAATTCCCAGAAAAAACAAGTAGAATTCCAATTACCCGAGCGGAAAGCGGAAAAGATAGAAATCGATAATGATAATCTAAAGTTTCTGATTAACAAATACAACGTTTTTAATAATCCACAACAGCCAGTTGATCGACAAACCTTGTTAAAGCCAGGTGCTAATCCACTAGAAAATGAAAGCAATGACAAAACACTTGATGGGAATAAGCGGGAAAATGACCAACCTCTGACATTAGAAACAGGAATTAAAATATCCAAGCCCTATACAAAAATTAAACAAACTCTGAAACAAGGCAACAATCGAAAGAATGGCGATCCGGTAGAAAAGACAATAGAGTTGATTCCCATTGAGCAAGTGCAAAGTAAGCTAGGTGGGCAAAAGGTGCCGAGACCAGATTCCGTAGAAACTGAGAAAAACGTTCGTCAAACTAAAGTTAAACAAGTCCCAAACATAATGCAGTTGGACAAAGAAAATAATGAGAAAAGCCCCCAGCTGCCAGCTAAAGAGGAGAGATGGTTTTCAGAGGTAAGATTAGAAACAGAAGCAAAACAAAATCCGGCAAAAAGGACAACTGAGAATAACTTGGATCGAAAAAAAGCAAAACTGTCAACTGCAATAAAACCGGAGGAAATTAATAAAAGACAAATAAAAAGGAAACTTGAGCAGCAAGGCACAATTGTGAAAGCTCCAATTGAAAGTTATTCAACTCCAAGAAAGGTCGACAGAAAAGAATCGGTTTCAAAAGAACAAGCAAGTGTTGAGGTACAACCGATCATTAAAAGGTTTGAAAAGAAAACAGATAATTCCAAAGAAATGCAGATGCTGTCCAAAAAAGAGATAAATGATAAGACAGTGCCTATAGATGCGGGGCCTAAAACTGAAAGCCAAGCAAAGCCAAACGAAGCCGACAAAACTGAATGCTATAAAGTGTCTGACGTCAGATTACAAATGGAGATACCTATGTTGGCAGGTAGTCAAAAGGCAGAGAAAAGTCCAATTGGCACAGATTCAAATCAAATACAATCACAACCACCGATTGGGCAGGCATCGGAGCTGGATCAACTTGCTAGGAGAATGCAAAATATTCCGGAAAAGAGCGATCTGAATAGGAAACTTGAGGATCAAAAGCCAATGTTGCAAAAGACGGAATCATTTAAGGGGAAACGGAAACGACAACAGCCAAATGTTGAACAACAAGCAAATAAGAGTATCGCAAATATCATGGATGAAAAAGGCGAAATCAATACTGAAAAGGTTTCCGACGAAAAGAATTTAACTGAAGCGGAGAAAAAAGAAACTGGGAAAACTGTTGGACAAAAACAAGCACAACAAACGAGTGCCAAACATATGCCGGATATCGAAGAGATTGTGAGAAAAATAAATATGAATCAGGAAGACAGTGAATTGGGTAGAAAACTTGAGGATCAAAAAGCAAAGTTAAAGAAAATCGAACCGTCAAAAGATTCTCCGCAAAATAAAAAAGAATTTGATGCAAAGGAAGAACGAAAACAGCAACTTAAAAAGAAAATGGAAAAATATATGAAAGGCCAATGCGAAAACAATGCGGAAGATTTTTCCTCAGCGAAGCAGCAACTAGAAATTGGGAAGATAAGTGCGAAAACTAATCTATTAGAAACTGAGAAATGGTTGGGAGAAAAAAAAGCACAGCAACCGAATTTAAAACAAGCGCCAAACCTCGAAGAACTTGCAAGAATAAGCGCGGAGCAGATAGAGGCGAACGTCGACAAAATTGTTCGGGATATGGAAATCGATCTAGAGAAAACCGATACCTTAACGTATATCCCGCCCATGAAAGTAAAGCCTGATGCAAAGTTGGAACGGAAACATAAAATGGAAGAGAGACTCGAAAACAATACTGAAAAGGTTTCCAACGAAAAGCAAACACTCGATATCAAGAAGATAAGCACGGACATGCATCATATCCCTGATGAAGCTAATAAAAGCGCGGAGAATAGACGAACTGAGATGGGGCCAGGACAAAAACAACTGCAACAACTAAGCACTAATGATGCATTGAACCTCGGAGAGATTGAAAGGAAAAAAGAGATGAGTCCGGAAAATAGGGAACTGAAGAGGAAACTTGATGATCAAAAACCAAATGTGCAGACAACGGAAACTTTGGAAAATCCACCACTTAAGAAAATAAAATCTGATGCAGAGAAACAAAAAAAACAAAAGCCGTCTGTTAAACAACCAAAAATCAAAAAACAAAAAGAGAAAACAAAGTATAAGCAAGAGAGAAGCGAAAACAATACTGAAAAGGTTTCCGGCGAAAAGAAAGCACCTGCAGCTAAAAAGAAAACCACGGAAGCGGTAGAAATTGAAACAGAGAAAAATGTTAACCATGCGTCGAGTCTCCTCGAAGCGATTGCAAAGAAAATTGAAAGTAATACGGAAAATGTAGATATAAATATAAAACTGGCGGATCAGAGACCAATATTGCAAGAGAGCGAAACTTTCAGAAAAGAGGAACAGCGACAAGAAAAACTACAGCCGAATAAAGAAGAACAGAAACATAATTTGGATAACTATAGGAAAGGCGTATGCGAAAACAATACGGAAGATATTTCGTCAACGAAGAAAGAACCTCTCACTAGGAAGATAAGCACGGAAACTCGGCAACAAGGAGCGCATCTCGAAGTTGCACGGAAAGAAGACATTATTCCGGATAATAAGGAATTGAAAAGGAAACTTGAGGATCAACAGCCACAATTTCAAAGAACAAAAACTTTGGAAAATCCACCACAAAAGAAAAGAAAATCGGATGCAAAGCAGAAACAAAAAGAACAAAAGCCTCTCGTTAAGCATCCGGAAATCAAAAAACAAAAGAATATTGAAGATAATGAGGAAGAGAGATGCGAGAACAATACTGAAAAGAATTCCGCCGATGAGGAACCACCTGAGGTTAAGAAGAAAGGCATGCAAACTAATCTTAACTCCGATGAAGCTAGTGAAGACGCTGAAAAGCGGAGAACTGAGAAAAAGATGGGACTAAAACAACAAAGGGTTCAAAAGGTGCCCAATCTCGAAGAGATTGCAAGAAAAATGGAAATGGATATAAACAATAGTGAATCGGATCGAGAACTTGGGGATCACAAACCAAATTCACAGAAAACCGATGTTTTAAAAGTTCCTAAGCCGAAGAAGAGGGAATCCAATGCGGACAAAGAAGAAATTCGGAAAAAGTTAGAACTAAAAGAAGCACAACAACCAAATGTTAATCAAGTGCAAAACCTGAAAGTACTTCCAAGAAGAATGGAAATAAATCAGGAAAATGTGAAACTGACACCAAAAGTTATACAGAATACAAAGGTTATTGTCAAGAAACCGTTGCTCGATGCACAATTGAAATCTGAGTCAGATTTAAAACCAACTGAAACCCATAAAATTGCAATCAGTGTACCCAGCGACCCAAAGCTTGTCGCTCCCAACCCGACAAACGTAAGTATAGACTCAAGTAAAATGCTATAGTTTGTAAATTAATTAATTCGAAACAAAAGCATCAGGAAAATGAGGCGCCACCCAACATACCATTTATAAAGAAACTAGAAAGTAATGTGGGAATAGGATTTTTCGAAACGACGGCAGCTGCGCAAAAGCGATCCTCAGATGGTCAGTTCAAAATGGAAACTAACCCGAAATCAGATGAGGTCCAGAGAGATGCAATTGATATGCCCACAATCCCTAGACGCATTCTTCCAGTTGCGCAAAAGGTGAAAACAAACTAGATTAAGTTCACTGGCTTTATCTTAGTCTTATATTTTCCATTAGCCAATTCTTGGGGTCAAAGATCTTCGACCAAAGCGAGGCCCAGGTCATGTGCCAGTTAGCAAACCTTCTTCAACGGCTAAGGAAGAGATTGCAAGCAAGATGCCCAGATCCTCAATATCGCAAAGCGTAAGTATATGCAATTTGCATCAGTTAATGATCCACGCCAAGAAGACAACTACTTGACCACAACTTCACTAGAGGTAAGAATGAGCTAAAGAACAAACATATTTATTCTTATTCAACAGCCTGAGAGCAATAAGACTGAGGCAAACAAAACTCTATTGGCTTCCAAGGAAGGGATTGCATCCAATGTAACCAACACCCAAAAAAATGTTCCAATAAACCAAAAGGCTGACTTTATGCCCGACATCAATGCCAAAACTGAAAGCGCACCTAAGAAAAGTCATAAGCCAGGAAAGAAGGCAATGAAGGAAATCGCATCTAATAAAATGCCAGGGGAGGCATATTCGCAAGCGGTAAAAATATTCGGCATATCAAAAGGGATTATAAAAACTAATTTTTGTAATGCATTCGAAAAGGCTGGGGAAAAGGGTATAGGCTCAGAGCCAACGGCTGGTGTTAGTGCAGGAATCAAAAAGGAAATCGTATCTATGAAAAGTCATAAGCCAGGAAACAACGCCAAGAAGGGAAGTACAGCTGAAAAAAATACAGAAGGAGAATCTTCACGAGCGGTAAGAAAGTCGAGATTCGATAGAAAGACATCAATTTATTTATTATCAAAGATGTTCAGTATATGATCTTCAGATTATCCTTAACATTTCCTTTATTTTATAATTTCTTCCCACAAAGTCCACAAAAGTGCGTCGAAAAAGAAAGTCAGAACGTATGATACTCATCAAGGACAAGGAGGGAAATCTAGTTAAAAGAATTTCTTTACGATTGGTAAGAAGGAAGTTAAGATAAAATAAAATATCGATATTGATGTTTCTTCAACAGTTAAAGCGCAACCTGAGGAGGAGGAAATTGAAAGCAATGCTACTGGAAGCTGCAAGGGAACAGTTTGAAATTAATACGCCCGATATCGCAGATATTAAATTAACATCGCCCAAGGTATGTAGAGATATGTTGAACAGGGTTACGCAAATGTTCCAGCCAGTCTTGGAATTTGAATTACAATAGAGTGTTATCACTTATTATTTAATTCCTAAATTAAATAGATCATCATCAAGTCGAAAGAAATAAAAGCAAACCCAAACCCAAAGGCCGAACGTAGCCTATTTACCAAGGCAAAGGATGAAAAACCAGTTAGTAGAATTGCATTTCAAAGATTTTCGATATCGGTTAGATAGTGAAGATACTATTTATTGTCATCATTTATGTTTATTCACCAGATGGAAAAAGTGGATGCCAGCAGGCCTCCACAAGCATTTTCTAAAGAGAACCAAAAAGACGTTATCCCATTAGCTGAAAAGGTAACTTCCATAAGAACGTTTGTTATACAACGAATAATATTTCGTAAGCCCCTGTTGATGCTTTTGCATATTTAAAACAACATTTATAAAAAAAGAAACGAACATATTTTTTCTTTTAATAGATCTCCGTCGAGCCCAAAGAGGTCGGAACACTTTCGGAGGTCTCGACCGCTGGGCGTTTCTATGTGAAGGAGGCAAATCAAGTTAGCAAAATTCCTGCCAGAAGATTTTCACTACCGGTAAGAGTCACGTTCATAAAAAAAATATGCAAAATACAACAATTTCAATTCATCGAACAGTTTGAGAGTAAAAAAACGCAGGCTTACAGAAATCCACAAGCCGCCAAAGAAGATGGAAATACTCAAAAGGTATGCCAAGCTGCTTTCGATAAAAAGAATTACAAATTTAAATGCTTAATCAATAGACGATTGTGGTTCCCAAGGAAGCCGAATCCAGACTAGGTAACGCCAATGAGGAAAGTCTAGCTCGGACACTTTCTTCAAGGAGGACCTCGCTTGCGGTAAGGGAACTAACATGTGCTAATAACAACAGCATAAAAACAAAGCTGTTCATATTACCTTTGTCTTCTCACAGTTGGAGAGCAAAAGCTTGGAAGCAAACAGAGTTCTACAAGCTTTTAAGGACGACCTTGCCAAGCTGGCTGCAGAGAGGAGGAAGTTGTCCAAGGTGAGCGGCTGTTTCAGGTTAAAGTGTTTGCGTATCCACTAAAGCTGTCAACAATGCTTGACTAGCAGTCACTTTGTGGCTTAAAATGCATCCATTTAAAGCTGTGGAAGAAAGGAATTATCAGGAATCTGATATTAATTCGATATATATAAAATATGTAAACCATTTAATCGTCAAATAATTGATAAATCTTTAAAAACCCCGTGTAGAGCACAAATTCGGAAGCTTTAGATGAATGGGAGCCATACAAGGTGAAGGACATGAATGCTATCTTCAGAGCGCGCATTGTGCGTAAGGGACTGTTGCATGGTAGAACCCTGAAGCTGCCCACACGCCGTGAAGCGGCACATATGCAGCCCCATCTAGTGGATGAGGACGAGATGGATTTGGAAGAAATTGGCGTGCCAGATAGTTATGAAATATACTGGCCCAGCAATTGGCATGAGCTCGAGGCCAACACTTTGGCGCATCCCGATGAGGTGGTCGAAATGTCGACGTTACTCTCATTGGATTTGCCGAAAATTACATACTCGCCGTCGCTGTCGCTGGCTGAAAAGCCAACGGATCCACATCGACTGAGTGACTTGCAGCTGGAGGCCATGATTTATGCTTGCCAGGCCCATGAGCAGATACTGCCAAGCGGCCAGCGTGCTGGCTTCCTTTTGGGCGATGGAGCGGGCGTGGGCAAAGGACGCACACTGGCGGCCATCATCTATGAGAACTTTCAGCAGGGACGAAATCGTGCCCTCTGGATATCCGTGTCGGAACATCTACGATTTGAGGTGGAGCGTGAGCTGAACTATATTGGCGTTAGTGAACAGATCAAAGTGGAGCCCATTGGAAAATTCAAATACAACCCGATAGCCTCGGATGAGATGGATAATGAGTCCTTTACGAAGGGCATCATCTGCGCAACCTACACAGAGCTGACAGGCGAAACATCAAATCCGACAGCCAAATACGAGACCCACGTGAGCCAGCTGGCTCAGTGGCTAGGCAAGAATGGCATTGTTGTATTGGATGAATGCCACAAGGCGAATAGGATGAGTCTAAGCAACACCGAAAGGTTCATCAAGATGTGCAGTTCGGTGCTGAAGCTGCAACAGCTGCTACCCATGGCACGGATTGTCTATGCCTCGGCCACGGGCGCCGCCGAGCCGCGCAATATGGTCTACATGACGCGGCTGGGCCTGTGGGGCATGGGCTCCCCATATGCGGAATTCCTTGAGTTCGTCAATGCCGTGGAAAAGCGGGGCAGTGGCGCCATGGAGATCGTCGCCGTTGACATGAAGCTGCGCGGCATGTATGTGTCGCGCCAGCTGAGCTTGCATAATGTCAAATATCGCATTGAGCAGGTGCCTTTGTCGCGAGAGTTTCGCAAGTTCTACAATTATTCAGCGGAGCTTTGGGCCAAGATTAATGAGCAGCTAATCAAGGCCTTTCGACGCATTCGCATTGAGCCGCGTATCCAGGATCGGATCAATCGGCAGTTCTGGTCCGCGCATCAGCGCTATTTTAAGAACCTGTGTATGGCCGCCAAGCTGAAGCATGTGGTGAAGATGGCCAACGACGCTAGACTCAGAGAGCGGGCAGTGGTCATTGGGGTGCAGTCGACCAGCGAGTGCCGCGCCCTGCACTATCTGGAATATGACCGAACTGAGCTGACGGGCTTTGTGTCTACTGCCAAGGCGATCATACAAACGTTTATTGAAAAATATTTTCCAGCACCCAGCGTCGAATGCTTCGAGAGGCTGCTGAGGAGCGGTGCCTTTGACCCGGAGAAGCGCACAAATCCCACGGGCGGCCAGAAGCGTCCACGCATGACAGCCGACTGGTCCAGCACAACTTCTGACGATACTGAAACCAGTTCCTCAGAGGAGGATGAAGACGATTGCAATGATGCTGAAAACAAGCCCCGCCGCTCAATAACCTCCAAGGGTAAGTGATATACGAAATAAATAATATTAAACTGGTAGGCAATATAAATTGGTTTATTTACTTGATTTATAGCTATGAGGTAGTAGCGGGGAGCTGGTGGTAGCTATAAAATGAAAGCTACTTGATATATATTTTTATATATACACTAGCTTCTATAACGTTGTTCAAAAACATGATTTTGATATCCAGTTTTATTGATTACTTGGAAACGGGTAAAGTTATCAATTATCGAAACGTCATATCTCCGCGCGGAGTTCTGTCGTTTCGAAACGTCATATCTCCGCGCTGAGTTCTGTCGTTTCGAAACGTCATATATCCGCGCGGAGTTCTGTCGTTTCGAAACGTCATATCTCCGCGCGGAGTTCTGTCGTTTCGAAACGTCATATATCCGCGCGGAGTTCTGTCGTTTCGAAACGTCATATCTCCGCGCGGAGTTCTGTCGTTTCGAAACGTCATATCTCCACGCGGAGTTCTGTCGTTTCGAAACGTCATATCTCCACGCGGAGCTATTACCCGAGATATTAAAAAAAATCATCGAAAAAGTTTCGATTTTCGCACCGACTTCGATTTTGAAAAAAAACGTGATGTAACCCCATGCCATTTTGTCGATTTGGGTAAAAATTTTGGATTTCCTTTTTTTGATGCCAATCGATAGAACTGATCCTTACGATATCGTGGAAGGTCATATCTCCGCGGGGAGTTATGTCGTTTCGAAACGTCATATCTCCACGCGGAGTTCTGTCGTTTCGAAACGTCATATCTCCGCGCGGAGTTCTGTCGTTTCGAAACGTCATATCTCCACGCGGAGCTATTACCCGAGATATTAAAAAAAATCATCGAAAAAGTTTCGATTTTCGCACCGACCTCGATTTTGAAAAAAAACGTGATGTAACCCCATGCCATTTTGTCGATTTGGGTCAAGATTTTGGATTTCCTTTATTTGATGCCAATCGATAGAACTGATCCTTACGATATCGTGGAAGGTCATATCTCCGCGGGGAGTTATGTCGTTTCGAAACGTCATATCTCCACGCGGAGTTCTGTCGTTTCGAAACGTCATATCTCCGCGCGGAGTTCTGTCGTTTCGAAACGTCATATCTCCACGCGGAGCTATTACCCGAGATATTAAAAAAAATCATCGAAAAAGTTTCGATTTTCGCAGCGACCTCGATTTTGAAAAAAAAACGTGATGTAACCCCATGCCATTTAGTCGATTTGGGTAAAAATTTTGGATTTCCTTTTTTGATGCCAATCGATAGAACTGATCCTTACGATATCGTGGAGGGTCATATCTCCGCGGGGAGTTATGTCGTTTCGAAACGTCATATCTCCACGCGGACCATTTACCCGAGATATTAAAAAAATCAGCGAAAAAGTTTCGATTTTCGCACCTACCGCGATTTTGAAAAAAAACGTGATGTAACCCCATGCCATTTTGTCGATTTGGGTCAAGATTTTGGATTTCCTTTTTTTGATGCCAATCGATAGAACTGATCCTTACGATATCGTGGAAGGTCATATCTCCGCGGGGAGTTATGTCGTTTCGAAACGTCATATCTCCACGCGGAGTTCTGTCGTTTCGAAACGTCATATCTCCGCGCGGAGTTCTGTCGTTTCGAAACGTCATATCTCCGCGCGGAGTTCTGTCGTTTCGAAACGTCATATCTCCGCGCGGAGTTCTGTCGTTTCGAAACGTCATATATCCGCGCGGAGTTCTGTCGTTTCGAAACGTCATATCTCCGCGGAGTTCTGTCGTTTCGAAACGTCATATCCCCGCGGGGAGTTATTACCCGAGATATTAAAAAAAATCATCAAAAAGTTTCGATTTTCGCACCGACCTCGATTTTGAAAAAAAACGTGATGTAACCCCATGCCATTTTGTCGATTTGGGTCAAGATTTTGGATTTTCTCTTTTTGATGCCAATCGATAGAACTGATCCTTACGATATCGTGGAAGGTCATATCTCCGCGGGGAGTTCTGTCGTTTCGAAACGTCATATCTCCGCGCGGAGTTCTGTCGTTTCGAAACGTCATATCTCCGCGCGGAGTTCTGTCGTTTCGAAACGTCATATCTCCGCGCGGAGTTCTGTCGTTTCGAAACGTCATATCTCCGCGCGGAGTTCTGTCGTTTCGAAACGTCATATCTCCGCGCGGAGTTCTGTCGTTTCGAAACGTCATATCTCCGCGCGGAGTTCTGTCGTTTCGAAACGTCATATCTCCGCGCGGAGTTCTGTCGTTTCGAAACGTCATATCTCCGCGCGGAGTTCTGTCGTTTCGAAACGTCATATCTCCGCGCGGAGTTCTGTCGTTTCGAAACGTCATATCTCCGCGCGGAGTTCTGTCATTTCGAAACGTCATATCTCCGCGGGGAGTTCTGTCGTTTCGAAACGTCATATCCCCGCGGGGAGTTATTACCCGAGATATTAAAAAAAATCATCGAAAAAGTTTCGATTTTCGCACCGACCTCGATTTTGAAAAAAAACGTGATGTAACCCCATGCCATTTTGTCGATTTGGGTCAAGATTTTGGATTTCCTTTTTTTGATGCCAATCGATAGAACTGATCCTTACGATATCGTGGAAGGTCATATCTCCGCGGGGAGTTATGTCGTTTCGAAACGTCATATCTCCGCGCGGAGTTCTGTCGTTTCGAAACGTCATATCTCCGCGCGGAGTTATGTCGTTTCGAAACGTCATATCTCCGCGCGGAGTTCTGTCGTTTCGAAACGTCATATCTCCGCGCGGAGTTCTGTCGTTTCGAAACGTCATATCTCCGCGCGGAGTTCTGTCGTTTCGAAACGTCATATATCCGCGCGGAGTTCTGTCGTTTCGAAACGTCATATCTCCGCGCGGAGTTCTGTCATTTCGAAACGTCATATCTCCGCGGGGAGTTCTGTCGTTTCGAAACGTCATATCCCCGCGGGGAGTTATTACCCGAGATATTAAAAAAAATCATCGAAAAAGTTTCGATTTTCGCACCGACCTCGATTTTGAAAAAAAAAACGTGATGTAACCCCATGCCATTTTGTCGATTTGGGTCAAGATTTTGGATTTCCTCTTTTTGATGTCAATCGATAGATCTGATCCTTACGATATCGTGGAAGGTCATATCTCCGCGGGGAGTTATGTCGTTTCGAAACGTCATATCTCCACGCGGAGTTCTGTCGTTTCGAAACGTCATATCTCCGCGCGGAGTTCTGTCGTTTCGAAACGTCATATCTCCGCGCGGAGTTCTGTCGTTTCGAAACGTCATATCTCCGCGCGGAGTTCTGTCGTTTCGAAACGTCATATCTCCGCGCGGAGTTCTGTCGTTTCGAAACGTCATATCTCCGCGCGGAGTTCTGTCGTTTCGAAACGTCATATCTCCGCGCGGAGTTCTGTCGTTTCGAAACGTCATATCTCCGCGCGGAGTTCTGTCATTTCGAAACGTCATATCTCCGCGGGGAGTTCTGTCGTTTCGAAACGTCATATCCCCGCGGGGAGTTATTACCCGAGATATTAAAAAAAATCATCGAAAAAGTTTCGATTTTCGCACCGACCTCGATTTTGAAAAAAAACGTGATGTAACCCCATGCCATTTTGTCGATTTGGGTCAAGATTTTGGATTTCCTTTTTTTGATGCCAATCGATAGAACTGATCCTTACGATATCGTGGAAGGTCATATCTCCGCGGGGAGTTATGTCGTTTCGAAACGTCATATCTCCGCGCGGAGTTCTGTCGTTTCGAAACGTCATATCTCCGCGCGGAGTTATGTCGTTTCGAAACGTCATATCTCCGCGCGGAGTTCTGTCGTTTCGAAACGTCATATCTCCGCGCGGAGTTCTGTCGTTTCGAAACGTCATATCTCCGCGCGGAGTTCTGTCGTTTCGAAACGTCATATATCCGCGCGGAGTTCTGTCGTTTCGAAACGTCATATCTCCGCGCGGAGTTCTGTCATTTCGAAACGTCATATCTCCGCGGGGAGTTCTGTCGTTTCGAAACGTCATATCCCCGCGGGGAGTTATTACCCGAGATATTAAAAAAAATCATCGAAAAAGTTTCGATTTTCGCACCGACCTCGATTTTGAAAAAAAAAACGTGATGTAACCCCATGCCATTTTGTCGATTTGGGTCAAGATTTTGGATTTCCTCTTTTTGATGTCAATCGATAGATCTGATCCTTACGATATCGTGGAAGGTCATATCTCCGCGGGGAGTTATGTCGTTTCGAAACGTCATATCTCCACGCGGAGTTCTGTCGTTTCGAAACGTCATATCTCCGCGCGGAGTTCTGTCGTTTCGAAACGTCATATCTCCGCGCGGAGTTCTGTCGTTTCGAAACGTCATATCTCCGCGCGGAGTTCTGTCGTTTCGAAACGTCATATCTCCACGCGGACCTATTACCCGAGATATTAAAAAAATCATCGAAAAAGTTTCGATTTTCGCACCGACCTCGATTTTGAAAAAAAACGTTATGTAACCCCATGCCATTTTGTCGATTTGGGTCAAGATTTTGGATTTCCTCCTTTTGATGCCAATCGATAGAACTGATCCTTACGATATCGTGGAAGGTCATATCTCCGCGGGGAGTTATGTCGTTTCGAAACGTCATATCTCCGCGCGGAGTTCTGTCGTTTCGAAACGTCATATCTCCGCGCGGAGTTCTGTCGTTTCGAAACGTCATATCTCCGCGCGGAGTTCTGTCGTTTCGAAACGTCATATATCCGCGCGGAGTTCTGTCGTTTCGAAACGTCATATCTCCGCGCGGAGTTCTGTCGTTTCGAAACGTCATATCTCCGCGCGGAGTTCTGTCGTTTCGAAACGTCATATATCCGCGCGGAGTTCTGTCGTTTCGAAACGTCATATCTCCGCGCGGAGTTCTGTCGTTTCGAAACGTCATATATCCGCGCGGAGTTCTGTCGTTTCGAAACGTCATATCTCCGCGCGGAGTTCTGTCGTTTCGAAACGTCATATCTCCGCGCGGAGTTCTGTCGTTTCGAAACGTCATATATCCGCGCGGAGTTCTGTCGTTTCGAAACGTCATATCTCCGCGCGGAGTTCTGTCGTTTCGAAACGTCATATCTCCGCGCGGAGTTCTGTCGTTTCGAAACGTCATATCTCCGCGCGGAGTTCTGTCGTTTCGAAACGTCATATATCCGCGCGGAGTTCTGTCGTTTCGAAACGTCATATCTCCGCGCGGAGTTCTGTCGTTTCGAAACGTCATATATCCGCGCGGAGCTCTGTCGTTTCGAAACGTCATATCTCCGCGCGGAGTTCTGTCGTTTCGAAACGTCATATCTCCGCGCGGAGTTCTGTCGTTTCGAAACGTCATATCTCCGCGCGGAGTTCTGTCGTTTCGAAACGTCATATCTTCACGCGGAGTTCTGTCGTTTCGAAACGTCATATCTCCGCGCGGAGTTCTGTCATTTCGAAACGTCATATCTCCGCGGGGAGTTCTGTCGTTTCGAAACGTCATATCCCCGCGGGGAGTTATTACCCGAGATATTAAAAAAAATCATCGAAAAAGTTTCGATTTTCGCACCGACCTCGATTTTGAAAAAAAACGTGATGTAACCCCATGCCATTTTGTCGATTTGGGTCAAGATTTTGGATTTCCTCCTTTTGATGCCAATCGATAGATCTGATCCTTACGATATCGTGGAAGGTCATATCTCCGCGGGGAGTTATGTCGTTTCGAAACGTCATATCTCCACGCGGAGTTCTGTCGTTTCGAAACGTCATATCTCCGCGCGGAGTTCTGTCGTTTCGAAACGTCATATCTCCGCGCGGAGTTCTGTCGTTTCGAAACGTCATATCTCCGCGCGGAGTTCTGTCGTTTCGAAACGTCATATCTCCACGCGGACCTATTACCCGAGATATTAAAAAAATCATCGAAAAAGTTTCGATTTTCGCACCGACCTCGATTTTGAAAAAAAACGTTATGTAACCCCATGCCATTTTGTCGATTTGGGTCAAGATTTTGGATTTCCTTCTTTTGATGCCAATCGATAGAACTGATCCTTACGATATCGTGGAAGGTCATATCTCCGCGGGGAGTTATGTCGTTTCGAAACGTCATATCTCCGCGCGGAGTTCTGTCGTTTCGAAACGTCATATCTCCGCGCGGAGTTCTGTCGTTTCGAAACGTCATATCTCCGCGCGGAGTTCTGTCGTTTCGAAACGTCATATCTCCGCGCGGAGTTCTGTCGTTTCGAAACGTCATATCTCCGCGCGGAGTTCTGTCGTTTCGAAACGTCATATTTCCGCGCGGAGTTCTGTCGTTTCGAAACGTCATATCTCCGCGCGGAGTTCTGTCGTTTCGAAACGTCATATCTCCGCGCGGAGTTCTGTCGTTTCGAAACGTCATATCTCCGCGCGGAGTTCTGTCGTTTCGAAACGTCATATCTCCGCGCGGAGTTCTGTCGTTTCGAAACGTCATATCTCCGCGCGGAGTTCTGTCGTTTCGAAACGTCATATCTCCGCGCGGAGTTCTGTCGTTTCGAAACGTCATATTTCTGCGCGGAGTTCTGTCGTTTCGAAACGTCATATTTCCGCGCGGAGTTCTGTCGTTTCGAAACGTCATATCTCCGCGCGGAGTTCTGTCGTTTCGAAACGTCATATCTCCGCGCGGAGTTCTGTCGTTTCGAAACGTCATATCTCCGCGCTGAGTTCTGTCGTTTCGAAACGTCATATATCCGCGCGGAGTTCTGTCGTTTCGAAACGTCATATCTCCGCGCAGAGTTCTGTCGTTTCGAAACGTCATATCTCCGCGGGGAGTTCTGTCGTTTCGAAACGTCATATCTCCGCGGGGAGTTCTATCGTTTCGAAACGTCATATCTCCACGCGGAGCTATTACCCGAGATATTAAAAAAAATCATCGAAAAAGTTTCGATTTTCGCACCGACCTCGATTTTGAAAAAAAACGTGATGTAACCCCATGCCATTTTGTCGATTTGGGTAAAAATTTTGGATTTCCTTTTTTTGATGCCAATCGATAGAACTGATCCTTACGATATCGTGGAGGGTCATATCTCCGCGGGGAGTTCTGTCGTTTCGAAACGTCATATCTCCGCGGGGAGTTCTATCGTTTCGAAACGTCATATCTCCACGCGGAGCTATTACCCGAGATATTAAAAAAAATCATCGAAAAAGTTTCGATTTTCGCACCGACCTCGATTTTGAAAAAAAACGGGATGTAACCCCATGCCATTTTGTCGATTTGGGTCAAGATTTTGGATTTCCTTTATTTGATGCCAATCGATAGAACTGATCCTTACGATATCGTGGAAGGTCATATCTCAGCGCGGAGTTCTGTCGTTTCGAAACGTCATATCTCCGCGCGGAGTTCTGTCGTTTCGAAACGTCATATCTCCGCGCGGAGTATCATATCTCCGCGCGGAGTTCTGTCGTTTCGAAACGTCATATCTCCGCGCGGAGTTCTGTCGTTTCGAAACGTCATATCTCCACGCGGAGCTATTACCCGAGATATTAAAAAAAATCATCGAAAAAGTTTCGATTTTCGCACTGACCTCGATTTTGAAAAAAAACGTGATGTAACCCCATGCCATTTTGTCGATTTGGCTCAAAATTTTGGACTTCCTTTTTTTTAGGCCAATCGATAGAACTGATCCTTACCATATCGTGGAAGGTCATATGGCTTGGCAATTACCCAAGATATCAAAAAAAATCATCGAAAATGTTTAGATTTTCGCACCGAATTTGAAAAAAATCGTGTTTGTGCATGTATACAGATATTCTTAAAGATGCTGCTCTATTCATTTGCGCAGTTGCATATAACTTTGTTTTATTTTTTTAACCGATTTTTATGAAATTTTCTACATTATATCTTTTTGTATCATAGAATATTTGTGTATACTGAAAAAATCAATTGCACTAAAATTTTGGCTTATATTGGTTGGCAATAAAAGTTGGGTTATTAAATTGATTATAGCTCTGGGGTGGTAGCGCAGATGTGGCGATGGGTATAAAATGGAAGATACTTGACAAATATATAATATTTTAGAAGCAACATATCATGTTTCGTGACTCTTGCTCTTATTATTTACCAAAATTGCCCATAAACAGGATATCGATATCGATTTTTATCGATTGCTTGGAAACTGAGTAAGTTATCGATTATCGGAAACAAACTGTGCAGGCACTAGGAGCACCTACATCTAAAATTTCAAGTCTCAAGCTCTAATAGGTTCTGATATCCTTGCGTTCATATATACGGACAGATAGACAGACGGACTTGGCTTTATCGACTTGGCAATTGATGCTGATTAAGTATACATTATATCCCTTTTACCATATTTAGTGGGTTTAGGGTAAAATATATTTTTTTTATTACAAATCGAAGAGATGAGAGAGTTGGGTGAATTGTGGGTGTTTTGGGTAATATGTTATATGTATTAAATTTGAACCTATTAAATTTGATCTTTGCTAGCGGAAAAAACAATGCACCAGCGCATCCTGAAGCATTTATGCAACAACATGAAAGCGGAGCCGGAAGAAGAGGGCTTCGAGTATAGCTTTGATGGCATCGATCCCCAAGCAGATCAAATCACAGAGAGCGAGGTGAAGCGCTGCATCAGCGCACGGGATAAGTTTCTCTTAAAGATACAGCAGCTGAGTCGTCGAATGCCGCCAAATACTGTGGATAAGATCATTGCGGATCTGGGCGGCCCCAGCGAGGTGGCCGAGCTGACAAAACGTCGCGGTCGGGTGGTCAAAACAGGCGATCTCTTTTACAAGTACGAGCTGCGCGGCGATACGGAAGCAAATATGGATATGCTCAACTATGCCGAAAGGCAGGCATTTATGGATGATAGAAAGAAGGTGGCCATCATCTCGGAAGCAGCCTCGTCTGGCATATCCCTGCATAGCGATCAGAGTGTGGCCAATCAACGGCAACGTGTGTACATCAGTCTCGAGCTGCCGTGGGACGCTGAGCGTGCCATACAACAGTTCGGTTGCACGAAACGCACTAACCAGAAAAACGAACCAGAATACGTAATCGTTATTTCGGATGTGGCCGCAGAGCTGCATCAGGCGAACATGGTGGCCATGGAACTGAAGAACTTGGGCGCGATAGACAGCAATCCACCGGAGGGGGATCCTTTCGGTCGGGATCAATCGTTGTTCAACCTCAACAACAGCATCGGCAGTAGCGCTCTGGACAGCGTGCTGCAGCAGATTACGGGCAAGAAGCCGCTGGAAGCAGCACTCGTTCCCGATTTCTATAAGGGTGACTTCAGCCTCGACTGCTCCGAGGCTCTGGCTGGAGTTGGCATGCTCCATGTGGGCCTCAACAGCATTGGCCAGAGAAGCTATGTCGTGAACAATGGCAGCAATCACATACCCACATTCCTGAATCGATTGCTGGGCTGCCGCCTCGAGGTGCAGACAGCTCTGTTCAAGTTTTTCCTCAGCAAGATGTACGCTCTGATGCTGCAGGTGAAGCGCACGCGTCACTTAAACATGGGCATCACTGACCTGGATGTACATGGAGCCGTTGTCACGGTGACCAAGCTCATCACCTTTAGGCGCACATATGTCTCGGGCACTGCGAGCACGGAACTGCACACCGTTGAGGTGGAGCGTGGCCTTTCCTTTGATGCGGCTCTGACGGAGTAAGTCAATCAATCAATCAATCAATCACTTTGTAACTAATCCACGTATACTCTTGTCGCTCTAGGTTCAAGAAAAAACAGCGCCAAGCCCATGAGGGCTTCTATATACTGCAACAGAAGCGCAACAACAACAACTGCGCCATTTTGTGCTTGAATACCGAAACCGTTGAGGAGTCCACAGAAGAGCCAAGCGATCCGTCCAAAATCAATCTGGTAATCATACGACCTAATACAGGCGCTCAGGTGCGCACCGAGCCGCTCAGCTCCCTGCTGGGTCGCTATGTGAAGGCCTCTCCGAAGGCGGCCCAGCCATTCTGGGATATGCAGTTCAGCAAGTGCCTGCACATCTGCTCTCACATTTACTGGAGCTGCAAGTGCTCCTACGGCAAGCGGTGCGGTCTGGGTCTGCGCGTCCGATCCTATCACGTGCTGTCGGGTCTGCTGATATCCGTGTGGGAACGTGTCGCAAGCATCATCGAGAAGAACGGACGACAGATGCAGATGGTGCGCGTCAAAACGGAGTCCAGCAAAAGGATTGTCGGCATTCTGGTGCCAGAGTTTGCATACCGTCGCATCGTGGCCGATTTGTCCTGTGACGCGACAGTCGAGACCAAGGATTTCACTCGAGTCTAATGATCGAACATGTGTCATACGCATCCGTTCAGTTTTAGTTTAGGTTTAGAGTTTTCGGGTTCCTATGAACTCTATATAGAGTTTTTAGTTTGTTTATAACTTAACCATGATTTGTAATTTATACTTAGTTCTTCAAATAGTACTTTAGCTACTTTTAATAATTATTACTATTTTCTTATTATTATTTTCGTTGTTATTTGCATAAATAATAAAGCTTTAAATTCCTTTAAATAAAATGTATTTTTAATAGCGGAACAAGTAAGAGGTTCTAGTCAGGAGATCCCGACTAGGGGATACCCTAAAACCCTCTTCCAACATCAAATGCAAATATATATTCTATTTTAGAAGCTATATGTCAAGTTTGGTGACTAGCTCTTATTATTTAAAAATTTCGTTTCGAAACGACATAGCTCCGCACGGAGTTCTGTCGTTTCGAAACGCATATCTCCGCGGGGAGTTATGTCGTTTCGAAACGTCATATCTCCGCGGGGAGTTATGTCGTTTCGAAACGTCATATCTCCACGCGGAGCTATTACCCGAGATATTCAAAAAAATCATCGAAAGAGTTCCGATATTCGCACCGACCTTGATTTTGAAAGATAACGTGCCATTTTGTCGATTTGGGTCAAAATTTTGGACTTCCTTTTTTTGATGCCAATCGATAGAACTGATCCTTACGATATCGTGGAAGGTCATATCTCCGCGCGGAGTTTTTTCGTTTCGAAACGTCATATCTCCACACGGAGCTATTACCCGAGATATTAAAAAAATCATCGAAAAAGTTTCGATTTTCGCACCGACCTCGATTTTGAAAAAAATCGTAATGATTTGGAAGGTCATATCTCCGCGCGGAGTTATGTCGTTTCGAAACGTCATATCTCCGCGCGGAGCTTTGTCGTTTCGAAACGTCATATCTCCGCGCGGAGTTTTGTCGTTTCGAAACGTCATATATCCGCGCGGAGTTCTGTCGTTTCGAAACGTCATATCTCCGCGGGGAGTTATGTCGTTTCGAAACGTCATATCTCCGCGGGGAGTTATGTCGTTTCGAAACGTCATACCTCCACGCGGAGCTATTACCCGAGATATTCAAAAAAATCATCGAAAAAGTTCCGATATTCGCACCGACCTTGATTTTGAAAAAAATCGTAATGATTTGGAAGGTCATATCTCCGCGCGGAGTTATGTCGTTTCGAAACGTCATATCTCCGCGCGGAGTTTTGTCGTTTGGAACCGTCATATCTCCGCGCGGAGTTATGTCGTTTGGAACCGTCATATCTCCACGCGGAGCTATTACCCGAGATATTCAAAAAAATCATCGAAAAAGTTCCGATATTCGCACCGACCTTGATTTTGAAAAAAATCGTAATGATTTGGAAGGTCATATCTCCGCGCGGAGTTATGTCGTTTCGAAACGTCATATCTCCGCGCGGAGTTTTGTCGTTTGGAACCGTCATATCTCCGCGCGGAGTTATGTCGTTTCGAAACGTCATATCTCCGCGGGGAGTTATGTCGTTTCGAAACGTCATACCTCCACGCGGAGCTATTACCCGAGATATTCAAAAAAATCATCGAAAAAGTTCCGATATTCGCACCGACCTTGATTTTGAAAAAAATCGTAATGATTTGGAAGGTCATATCTCCGCGCGGAGTTATGTCGTTTCGAAACGTCATATCTCCGCGCGGAGTTTTGTCGTTTCGAAACGTCATATCTCCACGCGGAGTTATGTCGTTTCGAAACGTCATATCTCCGCGGGGAGTTATGTCGTTTCGAAACGTCATATCTCCACGCGGAGCTATTACCCGAGATATTAAAAAAATCATCGAAAAAGTTTCGATTTTCGCACCGACCTCGATTTTGAAAAAAAAGAGATGTAACCCCATGCCATTTTGTCGATTTGGCTCAAAATTTTGAACTTCCTTTTTTCGATGCCAATCGATAGAACTGATCCTTACGATATCGTGGAAGGTCATATCTCCGCGCGGAGTTTTGTCGTTTCGAAACGTCATATCTCCGCGCGGAGTTCTGTCGTTTCGAAGCGTCATATCTCCGCGCGGAGTTTTGTCGTTTCGAAACGTCATATCTCCACGCGTAGCTATTACCCGAGATATTAAAATAAATCATCGAAAAAGTTTCGATTTTCGATTTTCGCACCGACCTTGATTTTGAAAAAAATCGTAATGATTTGGAAGGTCATATCTCCGCGCGGAGTTATGTCGTTTCGAAACGTCATATCTCCGCGCGGAGTTTTGTCGTTTCGAAACGTCATATCTCCACGCGGAGCTATTACCCGAGATATTAAAAAAAAACCTTCGACAAAGTTTCGATTTTCGCACCGACCTTGATTTTGAAAGATAACGTGCCATTTTGTCGATTTGGCTCAAAATTTTGGATTCCTTTTGTTGATCCCAATCGATAGAACTGATCCTTACGATATCGTGGAAGGTCATATCTCCGCGGGGAGCTATGTCGTTTCGAAACGTCATATCTCCACGCGGAGAGAAACGTCATATCTCCGCGCGGAGTTCTGTCGTTTCGAAACGTCATATCTCCACGCGTAGCTATTACCCGAGATATTAAAATAAATCATCGAAAAAGTTTCGATTTTCGATTTTCGCACCGACCTTGATTTTGAAAAAAATCGTAATGATTTGGAAGGTCATATCTCCGCGCGGAGTTATGTCGTTTCGAAACGTCATATCTCAGCGCGGAGTTCTGTCGTTTCGAAACGTCATATCTCCGCACGGAGTTCTGTCGTTTCGAAACGTCATATCTCCGCGGGGAGTTATGTCGTTTCGAAACGTCATATCTCCACGCGGAGCTATTACCCGAGATATTCAAAAAAATCATCGAAAAAGTTCCGATATTCGCACCGACCTTGATTTTGAAAGATAACGTGCCATTTTATCGATTTGGGTCAAAATTTTGGACTTCCTTTTTTTGATGCCAATCGATAGAACTGATCCTTACGATATCGTGGAAGGTCATATGGCTTGGCTATTACCCAAGATATCAAAGAAAATCATCGAAAATGTTTAGATTTTCGCACCGATTTTGAAAAAAAATCGTGTTTGTGCATGTATACAGAAATTCTTAAAGATGCTGCTCTATTCATTTGCGCAGTTGCATATAACTTTGTTTTTTTTTTTCAACCGATTTTTATGAAATTTTCTACATTATATCTTTTTGTATCATAGAATATTTGTGTATACTGAAAAAATCAATTGCACTAAAATTTTGGCTTATATTGGTTGGCAATAAAAGTTGGGTTATTAAATTGATTATAGCTCTGGGGTGGTAGCGCAGATGTGGCGATGGGTATAAAATGGAAGATACTTGACAAATATATAATATTTTAGAAGCAACATATCATGTTTCGTGACTCTTGCTCTTATTATTTACCAAAATTTCCAAAAAACATACCCATTTTTAATGGGTTCAGGGTATAATAAGTGTCATAAACTAAGCTCAAGTTCCAGCAAAAAATACCTTTGTCGCTATATCATAGGTCCTATAACATATACGGATCGGTCGGCCAGGCAAAGTACATTTTCTAATATTGCGACCTTAAATTTACTTTAAAACATATTCAATAACTTTGGTTAGCCAACAAGTTTTCGCATTCAGGATTCTATACAATTTAATTTTCCCATTAACTTTTCGCTCTCGAAAATTTTCCACTTGATAAGAACGCACTTGTCGCTTGACCGCCAGGTGGCGCCCAACAGCATAATTACAAATTGAGCAATTGAATTTGTGTTTGAAAGGCACTTCTGGCTGGTGGGCGTGGCATGCGTCCACTGCCACAAATTAAGGCGATGCCGCTGTGTGCCGTTGCGCCCCATTAACGAGGGCGCACCATTGACTGTGCATATATATATATATATATTTATAAGTATTTATATACATATATATAGTGACATATCCATAGTCGCACCCACCCTTTAACATAACTTAGCACATAAGCATAAGCACAATTATAAACATTTCTAATATTGTAAACAAAGAGCCTGGTGATAACATCGACATTGGTCAAGATCAAACTGTCCCCCTTTGGTAGACATAAACAATTCACCCTAAATATCACGCCACTGTCAATGTTCCCATCAGAGTACTATCCCACGCATAATTGCTGACGCAGCTCAAACTTCACTCAATTTTGACTCAAACTCTCTCAAAGCGAAGTTTGCTAAGCGACCGCAACAGTTAGATAAATCAGTTCATATTCGGGAAGCAAATCTGAATGTACTCAACAAAAGTAGCCGTTAAGTGAAAATAATAAATTGAAATATATTTTTTTATAGTAACCTAACGTGTAAAACTTAATTGGCGCAGCCGGTAGGATACGTCGGGAAAAATTAAAGATCGCTAAAGGATAATTAATTCCCAGATCTAACGCACAATCGCGACCGAAAGTGTTGTCGGAGTGTAATAAAAATTTTCTCGAATACGTATCCGCACAAGAACCTTCGGGTCACTAGTAGCTTAATAATATTGACCCTTTGGGCAATAAAGCTACTACAGTTAATAACGACTGGCTTTGCATATCGTTTGATCCCTGCAATACGTTATTACTGAGTCTTTTTAAGACACACACACAAAAAAAAAAAAACATTTAACCAATAATCCATCACAAACTTTAACCTAAAATAAAAGTGCAAAATCAAAGAACAATAAAGTTCAAACCTACAAACTCAAAACTATTCAAAAAAAAGTGTATTACACCAAGATGACAATGGAATTATCAGAACAACACCTCAACCAGGCCCTTTCACAACTTAGACAGGTGCCAAGCTTTGACGGATCAACGGATCAACTAAACGCCTTCATTAAAAGGATAGATTACATCCTACACCTGTATCCAACCCGAGATGTTAGACAACATAGCATCTTATACGGAGCCATCGAATTGCAAGTCACAGGAGATGCTCAGAGAATATCACAAAGGACAGCAGCCAACACTTGGCAGGAGCTGAGAAACGCATTAATTGAAGAATACAAAGTGCAGACACCATTTGAAGAACTCCTTCGACGCTTATACAACACGAATTACCAAGGAAACGTCCGTAAGTTCATCGAGGAGCTCGAGAATAAATCTTTTGTTATATTAAATAAGTTAGCACTAGAAAATATACCTAGCAATACAACCCTTTATACAAATGCTATGAA